CTCACCTAAGGTCACAGAGCTGAGAAGTGGAAGGTTAGGAATACTCGGTATGTCAGATAACTAACCTCATACTAAGCTCAATGGGAGATGGAGAGCAGTTATCAGGGGAATTCTGATTTGTTGTTGGGCTGTTTAGCTATTGTTTGTTTGTGCTCTGAGTTACATTAAAAAAAAAAAAGTCTTCTGTGTGATTATCGGAACCCAGCTCATCTATAGTAGATATCACTACTAAAGAGATAGTCTTTAGAATATGCAGAATTATGATTCTAATCATCGCTAAGTCCACCTGTGGACTCCCACCTCTGCTGATTTCCCCTTTGGACATTGTGGTGTTTTTCATTCATTCTAAATATGATGTTGTTGAATAATTAGGGGACTGCAGTTTTCTAACAAAATTGTTTCTGAAAACCTTTTATAGGGAAAGCAAAGAGTATGAAAGCCTATCTAAAGAGCGCAGAAGGCTTTTTCGTCCTGAATAAAAGTACTACGATTGGAAGGCATGAAGACTCAGACCTTGTTTTAGAGGTAAGAAGTCTTGCTTCTCCAACCCTCCTCAAAAGCCCTTACTGTTTCGTCGACTCAGATGGCTTTTAAAGCACAACTTCTGGCTAACAGCCACATCTTTCCTCGATGTGCTTGCCGGTAACCAATTGCCAAAATACTCTGGGTTTCCCTGGCATACGTAGTGAAAATGAGCGCGATGCAAAGTGTGATGTGCCCTCTGTCGTTTGCTGGACAAGTCTGCAGATGCCCCACCCATCGTCCCCTCCCCAGCAGCCTGATAAGGCAGTTTGGAAGGTAGGCATAGAGCCGATGCTTTGACCTTCACCTGCTTTGGGCCTGACAGCCAGGCCCACCTGGAGTGCCCAGCCTGAGTTTTTGGAGACTGTTGTGGGCCCCTCGGAGCCTGCAGACCTCCGAGCAGTGAATCAGGATAAGCCCTGGGCCTGGCCTCAGCATTCTCTCATTTCATTTCATTCTCTGAATTCACTGTGGTTTGGTCCAGAGCCTCAGATCATTGACAGCACAAGAAGGTGGAAGAAAGAAAGGAATAATAAAAACAGTGGTTTTTGGCCTTTTTAACTATCGAAGGAGCTTAAAATATTAAAGCAGAAAGAGAAATGCAATGGAATTTCCCCATAACTGTGAAAAGCAGGCCTGTCTCAGACCTCCTTCAACAGATTTCCTTTCAACTTTGTAGTTTGAAATAATTATAGATTCAAAATAATTAACGATACAAATAATTAACGATACAAAACCAGGAAGTTGATATTGGTACAAAATTAGTGTTTGGTTCTATGCCATTTTATTATGTGCGTGGATTCATGTGCAGCCATCAAGATATAGAACTATTCCATTATCAAAGCTCTCCCTGTGATATTCCTTTATAGTCATAATACCTCCTCATACCACCATTCCTAAACCTCAACAAGCACTAATCTGTTCTCCATTTCTATCATTTTTATTGCTTTGAGAATATTGTATAAATGGAATCAAATAATATGTGAACTTTGAGGTTTTTTTCTCACTCAGCACAATGTCCTTGAGATCCATTTAGGTTGTTAGCCTGTTCCTTTTTTACTGCTGAGTAATATTCCAGTGTCTAGATGTATGACAGTTTGTTGGACCATTCATATTGAAGGACACATATTGAAGGACATTTTGATTGTTTCCAATTTGGGACTGTTATGAATAAATCTATTATAAACATTTGTGTATAGGTTTTTGTGTGGGTACAAGTTTTTATTTCTTTGGAATAAATGCTCAGGAGTGTAATTGCTAGATTATGTGGTAAGTATGTGTTTGGTTTCTAAAGAAACTTCCAGGTTATTATCCAGAGTGGCATACCATTTTCTCCTCCCACTAGCAATGGATGAGACATGGTTTCACTGCATCCTCACCAACAATTAGTATTACCACTGTTTATTTTAGCCATTTTAGTAAATGTGCAGTGATATCTCTTCATGGCTTTAGTTTACATTTCCTAAATGGCTAGTAATGTTGCATATCTTTTATGTACTTATTTGCCTTCTGTATATCTTTTTTGATGAAATGTCTCTTCATATTTTTTGCCAATTCTAATAGGATTATTTGGGGTTTTTATAGATAATCCTATTAGAAATGAGTTTGGGGAGTTCTTTATATATTTTAGATATGAGTCCTTTACCAGATATGTGGTTTGCAAATATTTTCTTCTATCCATAGGTTGTCTTTTCATTCTTTTAACAGAATATTTCACAGACCAAAAGTTTTAAATTTTCATGGAGTTCAGTTTATCTTTTTTTTCTTTTATAGATCATGGTTTTAGTGTCGTGTCTAAGAACACGTGAGCAAGTCCTTGATACTGAGGATGTTCTCTTATGTTTTCTTCTAATAGTTTTATAATTTTGTTTTATGTTTAAATCTATAAACTTTTTGAGTTCTTTTTTGAATATGATGAGGTTTAGTTAAGGTTTATTTTTATTGCATGTGGATATCCAGTTACTTTAGAACCATTTGTTGAAAAGACTATCCTTTCTTCATTGAATTGCTTTTGTAACTTTATCAAAAATCATTTAACCAATATGTGTGGAGGCTCTTTCTGAGTTCCTATTACGTTTTATCGATCTGTGTGTCTATACTTCTACCAATATGACATAGTCTTAATCACGGTAGCTGTTTAAGTTTTAAATCAGGTAGAGTGATCCTTCCCATTATATTCTTCTTTAAAAAAATTTTTTTAACCTATTCTAGCTCTTTTGCCCTTTTATATACATTTTAGTCTAAGGCAGTCTATGTATACAAAATATCTTGCTGGAATTTTTACAAGAATTGCGTTTTTAAACCTATGTATCGGTATGAGAAGAACTGATATCTTTACTGGTCTCTTTCGCTCTATGAACATGGTGTTTCTCATTTATTCAGGTGGTCTTTGGTTTCTTTCAAGAGTGTTCTGTACAAGTCCTGTATGTGTTTTGTTATATTTACAATTAAGGATTTCTCTCTTATTTTGAGTTATTATAAATGGTATTGTATTTTAAAATTTGGTGTCCACATGTTCCTTGACATTATATAGAAATACAATTGATTTTTGTATGCTTATATGATATCTAAACTAAACTTTCTAGAAGGTTTTTTTTATAGATTTCTTGGGGTTTTATACATAAATAATTATGCATCTGCAAAAAAAAGAACAGTTTTTTTCTCCTTTCATCAAGGAGATCTGAATGCCTTTAATTTCCTTTTTCCTGCTTTATTACACTGGCCAGGACATCCAGTACTCTGTTGAATAAGAGTAGTGAGTGAAGTATACATCTTTGTATTTGCTTGTTCCTGATCTTATATGAGAAGCATTCAGTCCTTCACCATTAAGTGTGGTGTTAATTGTAGGCTTTTCTGTAGATGCTCTTATCAAGTTGAGAAAGTCTCCCCGCTCCCCCGCTCCCCCCCTCCCCCGTTTATTCCTGGTTATCTGAAGGTATTTATCATAAACTCAGCAGATTTAAAAATAACTCAACGGGCCTCCCCTTGAGAGTCTCATCCATGTCATGGTCGCCCTATAAGGACACAGAAAATCCGTTCAGTGCACAAAGTGGGGGAAGGAAAGAAAAAGAATTTCAGTTTCTTTTTTATCATAACCAGGGATAGGTTTTAGGTCATCTTATTTCCTATCTGGCCAAAGTAAAGACAGAGATCTCTGTGTCGAACTTGACTGTCATGTCCGAAAACTGCGGTAATTTTCAAGAGCACAGGCTTCGGAGATAGACAGACCTGGGTTTGAATCTCACTGGGCCACTTTCTGGCTGTGTGACTTCAGCGAGTTAGTTAATTGCTCGGAGCTCGGAGCTCGGAGCTCGTTGTCTCAGTCTATGAATCGCTTACCTCACAGGGTCGTTGCGTATAAAGTGCCTGGCACACAGCACTAAGTCAGCGACACCATGACGTTATTTTTGTCTTATAAAATGGAGACCGAGAGGAATCCTCAGAGGTGCACAGGGTCAAGATGAGGATCCACTGACATTAACAAGCTGTTTGGAAAAGGAATTGATGAGGACAATTATTGTATCAATGGAAACTGAGTTCCATTCATTGTATAAAAAAATAATTGATGGCTTACTGCTTCCTGGTCTTGGTTTAAGAAGGAAGTCCCCACCGCCAGCAATAGCCATGTTGATTTAGGAAGGAATAAGTTTCGTTTCCAGGAGCACAAGCTTATATCGGCTCTCTAAAGAACAGATGATGCATGAATTGCCAAACATTTTGTGAATGGGTGCTTCTTAGACAGATCCTCTTCCCAAAGCTTAAATGGATTTGGGAGAGGGGGTTTGCTTTTAAAAGGGATATGGAGATACAGGTCCATTTGGAAGAATTGAAACCTGCAGACATGTCAACATTTTCCAATTCGATAAAACAAGACAAGGTGAAAATTGCCCCTTTGGTGACTTCATTGAGCCTTTCTTATTAGAATAATCACCCTCGATTGGCTATGGACCACCCCAAGGGATAATTCAATAGTCAATTTGTAATGGCCACTTAGAAATCATTTCACTAAATAAAGTTCAGAAATATTTATTGATAAAAAGTTGTCCTTGAAATTACCCAAAGGTTAC